ATCTTCAATTTGATCACACATTTGATCAAAGGTCATCTCATAGACCGTTAACGTTTTTCAAGCACAAACCAACTCAATTGGTTCCATGATTAAAGTCCAATTCAACAATGAATGAGATTGAGCATATTAATCTCCAATCATTTGCTATTTATCACTTTTGTGACCTTCATAAGATAGCATCATATCACCTCAAATGATAAGGTACATATTCACCTTATTCATATTTGAACGAAATCATATTTGTCATATTCATATGTAAATATAATTTTGCATAAATCATCTTACTTAATTGAGGCTACCATCACTAACGAAAGTTAATATAATTTTAACAAGACATAAATTCATTCAACCAACTAGTTTATCTTGTCATTCTCATATTCCAATAAAAGAAATGATTATTGAAATTCTTACACTTTCAACAAGTAGATGTCATTCTTCCAATATTATCAATCCAAGCAATGAACCATTTCCAATTTCAAGTCATTAAGCGAGTTAATTCTTATCACCAGATGATGATTTTCACTTAGACCAATTCAACTTACAAGTACATACGAATCATATAGTTAAACTCGACTAATGATTATGATAATTGCCATTAAATTGCCACACATCACTTTGTCTTTCTCATTGTAAACATATTCATATTTTAAATATAGGATTATGCAAGCCACTTAGAGCAGATCATAGATTTTGCAAATTAATACAATTAAAGATCCTTTTAGACCTAATTTAATATAACACCTAATTTAATATAACAATGATTATGTAAAGAGAGAGAGTCACATCATAATAATATAAACATCCTTAAGACATCAAGTCCAATATTTATTAACAATTTTAAGGAACATCAAATATTCCTTTCAAAACCACATTTTCCACGTTAGTACATCCGTGTAAATCATATGAATTAACAAAGAAATATACTCATATTCCATCATCTAAATGATCCTAGAATTTTCATAATATTTTGCATAATTTTCTACCAATAAGAGGCTTAATTCTCAATAATAAACAATCGTGCTATTTTTTTTTAGTTTTTTCATGTTGATACCAAGTCAATTACACCAGTCTTTCATAAGCCTCTACCATTTCCTTACATTTCATATAAATCAAATTCCATAATAAAGCATATTCAAATTAAAAGATCACACACATGCTTTATTCCAGTCAAATATAACATGCAAGGAATTTATACAACTATGCAATTTATAATTATGGACATAATATTCAGATTCCTTCCACTAGTAAGAAATTTCTGTGTGTTCTCATGAAGTTTATATGTGATGCCATCAAATATTTATATTTTATAGAAGATGTCCATGAAACGAACATGCATCTTTAATTTTCATGCAACGTCATGATTTTCATATTTCCATTTTCACGAGTATTCTCATGAAACACAAGCAACAATTTTATGCACAACCGAGATTTATCTTATAATCATTGGGTATAACATAGATAATGTTTATATTATATTCACAAAATATACCTCATGTATGCTTGAAATTGAAATGCAATTTTGACTTACCGAATTTGGAGAAGGCGAAATGATAATTTACCAAATCCAAATGCAAGAATTTGGATTCATGTCTTTCTACAAATCGAACCACCTCGTGAAGTTAATGCCATCAAATGTCCACATGAACAAAATCTCGATCCATCTGGTGGAAAAATAATTAATTGTAGTAATGTTCAGAACAATAAAATACAGAAATATAAAACTTATCATCCGATCGAGTATCGTGACAGCACGATATCCTAAAGTGAAATTGCTCATCGACAATTGCTGCGACCTCTGTGGATAATCACTCACAGGATATAACGATCGTAAACCACTTGTGCAACAATCACGAATGATTTTTTCAGAACTCTCAATTGTACTCCAAAATATATGTAAAAACTCGAGTATAAGAAATTCAGAATATTAGAAGGAATGATTGATGCAAGATGATTTTTCTATTTTCTTTTATGTGAGTTTTTCCTAAAACGAGATATGGGTTTATATAGGTAAGATGGAAGCAACAGTCTCCACCATAATCAAAGAGTACTGCAGAATTTTAATGATTGAGTAGTGGGTATTTTAATGACTGTGAGTGGGTTGCGTGGAAAGTGACTCAAATCTCTGACGTCCCACACAAATGCCACATTTCCAACCACTTTGGCACTTCATCTAATTTGATTATTTCTTTCATATTTTATATTTATACCATAAATATATAACAATCAACTTGATTTATAAATTTGATTGCCGCTATTGTTGTCTCGCTCTCCATCGTATAAATATCGTTTGAGAATGTTGGAAACAAAAGAGTTTGAAGAAGAGACAAAAGGAATAACAAAACATTACAGCAACAAGATAAAGAAACTAGACGCTAACCATGATAGGAGTCATTCAAAGCTGCTTAGTGATTCATTCAAAGCCCTAGACGCTAACCATGATAGGAGACAGCTATTGAAAACAGAATACCAGAATAAGACCCTCGATAATTTATTTGAGGTCTGGGCATTGATTTTTACTTGCAACTAATTTCTATTTCATGTTTGACTTCTGATTATTTTATCCTATATTTCTGGGTTGACATACCTCCATCAGATTAAAGCTTTTTTGAATAAGCGCATAATTGATCTCTTGTTTGAACCCCATTCTTTTGGAGAAATTCATTTTTCAACAGTATTTTGATATCATTTTAACCACACATTTTTCAATAAAAAAATATTACACATAAATAAATAAAAATTCTTTATTTTTTAACCACACATTTTCTATCAATATACTGTTCAAAAATTAATTCTTCCCAAAAAAATGGAGCTCAAACAAGGGCTAAATTGATGAATGATGAAACCTTGTCCGTACAACATCAAGTCCAGGCAGTTGCTCCTTTCGTGCTTCAGCAATTCACCTCTGACTCAATTCAGATGATGCAATCTGATATTTCCTTGGCAATTTCATTGTTAACTAATCGAAAAACTTGGGATCTGATTATGGTAATCAACTCAAAAACGTGTTAGTAGTACTTGTTTTCATGTTGCCTTTATTAATTTGGGGTTTTACAGTCCTGATGAATCGCAATGACACTCCTTCTTTTGTTCTAACTGCATCTGTAGTGTAAATAATAATAAATCCCTGTCGGCTCCCCAGGGCACATCCCAATTGGCAAAGATAAGGGCGCTTCAATGTTGGCAGATCAGAGGTCGTGAGCTCGATTTCTGGAAGGTTCTTGGAAGGCAGATATTCTCCTGAAAGGCAGGAGCTCTGTTGGAAGGCAAGGTGCAAAGATGAGAAAAACGACTTGCTACTTTGGCGGATCAGTTGGAGGGCTCTTGAGTACTGGTCAGTTTGAGGCACAACCTACGGTTTAACCTGTCTGTAGCTTGAGGGTTTAAGGTGTAGATTTCAGGATTTAGTTACTGTAAGGTGGATACCTGGATATCAAAAAAAAATAATAATAATAATAAATCCCTGCCGTCTTTGTTCTAACTGCATCTGTAGTTTTTCTTTCTACACTATCACTCTTGTATTTTGCAACTAATGATAACTTGAGTATTGAATGCATTATATTCTCTGAATTTCAGATTCTTAGATCGTTTAGTAAGTACACTGGAGGAAAAGAAGCATCACGAAGTCAAGTTAAAGGACTCATTGAAAGATTTATCACGTAAACGCATGGAAGTGCAGAATTCTTTATCTTCTTCCTGGCGAAAACAAGTAAGTACATTTGGCACGAGGAAGTTTTTGTGGAGGGCTTCTCTCTCAGTGTGTTTCTTCTTTTCTTTTTTTTTTTTGGGGGGGGGGGGGGGGGGGGGGGGGGGGGGGGGGG